TGTTCTACTGTTCAGGTGCTTCTTCACGATACTGCTACCACTTCTGTTCATGTTTCGTTTAGTGTAGTGAGATGATGAAATCTGATGGGAAATCACAAATCAAACAACTTTGTGACATTCGCGCCATCCTCTGTCTCACGCATGTGTCGGTTGGAGCATAGACCACTACAATCATATAGACATACAGACAGTACTAAAAGCGTAAAAACGAACTAAGAAGAAATATTTAGTTGACTGAGTTGAGAAGCTGAGTTGGTCGACGGATAAAATGCCTCTACTACAGTCATATCCGGGTCGCTTAGCGGCTTTATTTTTTGAAATCAGATATTATTCGTCTGTTCTTTGATCTTTGGTTATTCCAAGCGGATACCTGCCGTCATCATAGGGGTAGCATGAAAAATACGGCGATTTTCAAATATTCATCACCTATTTTATGGAATACCTGCCGAGTCAGTCGGGGAATCAGCTAAGACATTCAAACGGTCGAATGAGTCGGAGCAAAAAGGAACCATTTTCAATTTTTGCTTTGGTGGTCAACTGCGACATGGTGCGACACGAAGCTACACGAAAATGTTTACTAAATAAATAGCTTTAATTTCTGACACCCGAACACCAAACCCCACTGTACATCTCAGTGTTCACGTGCACACACACAAAGTAGTAAGCAAAGCTGCATGGGGCGGGCCACTTTGCAGATAAAAAATTAAAACATTATTTTTAAAAAAATATTATGGCGTGGTCGTGGATCCCATATCTTGTGAAATAATGGAGCCTCACTCTCTAACCATCCTCTTGCGGTCAACCCACCCCGCCTGTCGGTCGCACGTAAACGAGCGAAGGGTCTCCCTGAGACTCTTGAGGGCAAACTGCAGAAAAATTCATATAAATCATCCTTAGTTTTTTTTTAAAATTTCACATCCGCAGCATAGTAGTATATGTATCATTGTTTGGATGATTTGTCACCAACATATCTCCAACACAATGACAATATTCCAACCACGCCATTGAAAAAATGGGGTTCATTTGCTGACTCCAGTAGTGCCTTGAAGATGAAACATCTCTGTGTCTAATCATTGTTTGGCTTCTCCAACAACCAAAGACGATGAAACGAATCCTTCTCTCTGCCAACAACCAACTGAACAAGAACAGGATTTTCTAATTGCGGTCAGTTCAATAGAGTCACTGAGCAAGCCAAAAAATGAAGCTAACCGAAGTCGCAACAACTGCAGTAAAGATTATTGTGCGATTCATGAAGTTTCCCAATTTCAAAGATATCAATCTTGACAGTGTCAAAACACGGATGATGTCAACACATTCAGAAAAACCTTGTTGAAGCGGCTCCATAACGGGGCACATCATGCTTTCCTCTCCGCAAATACTACATAACAAACAATGGTGTCAGATGTTTCAATAAGTGCTTGCGAGGAAACAAGTTTTGACTTCCATTGAACAATGAGGCTCATTTGACTGCACAACACGGCCGTACGTCCCTACCCAGGTTTTTCATCGGTTGTATACTAAGCACTGAAACTGTAATATTTAGGTGGTTAACCATCATTCTATAAGCTTAAAAAAGAGCCAGACATTTGTTTACTAGTATTAAAGGTTAAAAAAAATGAAGGATGATTCATATGAATTTTGTTGTTGTTTGCCGTCAGAGGCTATTGAGTGTCCTTCGCTCGTTCACGTGCGACAGACATAAGTAACGGACGAACCACAGATGATGACTACAGTCGCATACAAATTTTGACTGCTTATTGTGGAAAAAGCCTGGTACAAAAACCGTGACTCGATCAAGTCGGAGATTGTTTTGACTTAATCGACTAGACATCAGAAAAAATTCTGCTACAAGAAACAAGAGTTCCATCTTGTACGATACGACCTTGTTTTCATTACAATTCTTGTTATTTGAACATACACTTTTTGCCTAATGTGTATAGGATATATGTGTACGCACTTTGAATTGCAAAGTTCTGTCTAGAATACACGGAATTTTGAAACATTCAATCAAGTCATCTGAAATGGTGGGAAGGGGTCAACAGGAAACCAGATTTGGGAATCTCATTTCTGTCGCAGCATTGCAAAACAACACCCAAAGTCGATACATATAGGTCCTTGAATTTTTTTTGTAGGGGTCCTACCGTGTCTGGATACAGACACGGTCACTAGGATAGATTCTTGGCAACTTCTGGATTGCATGCCAAATCGACTCCACAGGTCAAGTAGGTGCAGTTCAGTCCCTACTACCCTGAAATTTCCCAAACCTCCAAACCGTCTTAGATATACCCATACACGAATAGGATAAGCCAGAATAAAGAAGTTTGACGAAATTAGGCCAACAATTTGACAATTCCAGAATTTTCAACGAACTTACCTTTTTCTTACACCAATTTGACCTCATGATTCTTGATCTAGGCCAAATCATTGCCTCGGTCCCGAAAAATCCAGTCCTTAGACATACAAGGGAGACCCGGTGTCTCAGTGGCGGCCACAGGGACCTTCAGAGCGCCACAGAAAACACAGCCCCAACGAAGGAGATCGCAAAATCTTCGCAAATCAAACAAATAAAGTTAACCAATATCGCTCCGTCGTTATATCAGATACCAATAGAGCATACTATAGCTTGGAGCTCGGCGATCTCTGCATGTGGGGCCCACTGTGCATCCCAAACGGCAAGCTGACGGAAACGGTTCCAATAGCACTTGTTGATTGTGGCATGATTGAGGCCAGACAAAAAAATGTTTCACACTTCATTGGGTAGTCTATATAACCATGAGGCCTTCCGCCGCATCTGATTCCATCTTCTCTTCTTGTAGGGCCCGTGCCATGCAATCCATCTGTTTTTGACGTATTTTGCCAATTGAAGAACTTGGTTGAGAATTCGCAGAAAGATAAACTGATAACCAACATCAAACTAATCCAAGGCATTCCATATACCAATAGAAGTAACCTCCGCCGAAATTTTCAAGTACTCTGTGCCTTGGGACTTCGTAGGGTCCCAAAACCATGCATAAACTTCTTTTTGGACGATGATGGTCGGCTTCAGAGGTCATTTTGGGGACAACAGAAACCACTGAGGCCATATCACTTGGTACAAGCAGGATAGCTAATGTACAGATAGGGCTACTGTTAGCTGTGAATCAATTTTCTTAGAGTGAGAGATGAATGTAAGTGCCATCAGCCTTTTTGGTGGATTTTCAATGCTTTAACTCCCCTACCATCTTTATTTTTTTGATATTATGCTTCTTTGATGTGTTTCAAAGTGGTTTATGCACACACAAAAGAACGACGACGTTTTGTTGATGTCAACAATGGGTCCGAAGGTTGATGATAGAAATGGTGATTTGTTGTCTTCATTGTCTGGTACAAAATTCACGAAATTCTACGAAGGCGCGGGCAAAAACTGAAAGTACTTTCTTAGGCCGATTTGGTGACGTGGCTTACTAGTCCTACGTATTCTTCGCTGTGTTTCAGAATTTTGTATGCGACTGTAGAGAGTGATGTTGTAGTTGGCGAAGGTAACGGGAGGAACTGAGGCAGGCGTGGCAGTTGAACGCGCACGCGCGCAGTCCATTGGGTTCGCTGCAACACAACACAGCGACGCCATAACTTTCTTCGAACCTCTGTTGTGATACCTCCTGCACCAACGGATCACGTGATCAACACTTGGAGCTAGTCAAATGGTTTTTAAGGATGGCAGCACCCCCACCACTTCTCAAGACCTACAATGACGCCTTCGCACTTGTGGAAGGGGACCCATACCAACAGAACTATGGCCCACTGTCGCAAGCCTTCAGGAGCAACAATGCACCACCAGACAGCGACAAACTCTACTTCCGCGTCGCCAGCTCCGACACCTCATACCCAGATGCCTTCCTCTGCGTTTTGCGAGACGACGATGGACCCACCTACTGTGTTGTCCATGCTGTCTCCAGCTATCCAAGCGTATTGGGTCAACCATCAAAGTGGGATGAGCTGACTTTTGGTTTTGTTCCAACACCACAGTGGAATTCCCCTTCGAAGCCTTCACCATCCCTGCCAACTACACCAACGTACCAGGGTCACTGGAAAGGGCAAGAGAAATTTTGGACGACAATCCCGAATTCACCATGATTGGTCTACTCCCTGATGGCGACGCCAACATCCAACAGTGTCGGGCCCGACCTTTCTTCCCTTTGCCACCACGTTACGTGAATATCTTCCTGGGACAACGACTGCCAATTTGGGAAGGATTTGTTAAATTTTCTAAGCGACTCATGGAGACCGGAGATCACCAGGCCTGCCCAGAACTTTCAGAATGGCTCCTCCTGTCCACTACCCAGAAGACTAGAGATGGCGCCAATCCACCAGTCCTAATGGGAGACTTCAACGTACCATTGGCCGACGCTAAGCTCCTCAAGCATCGTCAACAGCTACTGGAGAAGCAATAATAATAATCACTGAGACATTAATCGTTAATATGCTACTCTGTGGGCATTCGATTGCCGGTGAAATATTTGGCTGTAAAGGTCAAGTACTGAAGCGGTGAGTCAACAACAAGTTTGAACCATGTGAGGCATCCTTGTCATGAACAGAAGTTGCTCAAGTCTACCAAAAGGGTAAGGACTTCTCCCGCGACGTGGCGGGGTGAATTCGGGGCTCAGAAGGTCCCGCGAAAAGTTGGTCAGGGTCCCGGGGGAAAAATTGTCCGCAGACTGCGGCGTTGTGCTTTCTGGAGCGACGGAAGTCTCTGCGCTCCTGAAAAGGCAGCTTCAGCCACTCTTCCTTGTCCACCAATGACTTGCAAAGAACTTGTCGGCGGCTGGTTAGCATCGGTCGAATTTCCCTAGGCAAGTCATCGGGACCCATATCAAACTGTGAGTGAATCCCCTCATTGACAGTGCTATGACGTTCACATAGTTGAACGTTGTCATCCGAATGTTGAACAGAGTTCCGTTGCTCCCACATGTAGAAGCCGATCGAGATCAGCTGTTGTGAGAGGCGGGACGCCCAGAGAGAGACAGATCAATGACATCTGATCTTGTCATAATGTTGTTGTTGGAGCGGTAGCCAAGACAAGGCTATGCGTCCCTCCAAAAGGCCTTGATACCCAATCACCTGTTGAGCCAAGAAGGCCGACCGAACCGAAGGAGGGATGGTCCGTAAAGATGGGGAAGAAGGTGCGCGGACGCCATGAAGAAGTTGTAGGATTGCGTGTTTGATGGAAGGGCCCGTCAATTGCAGATCCAGCCACGCGGAGAAGGCTGCGATGCGACGATCCCATTCTGCAGTTGCCAAAGTAGCGCGGCATGGAGATGGTCCTCAAAGTCGCCACAGCGAGGACAAGCTGCGGATGTCTCCAAACCTGTACCACACATACCCACGCAGTGTTTAGTAGACCACCTTTGAAGTCCTGCAGGAAGAGATAGCATGGCGCGACCCAGTGTGTCCCAGGCGATCTCAGACTTGGCTTCGGCGGAGATAGTACCTTTGTCCCTCCAGCGCAAGCGAAGAGCGGGCAGGGTCACGCGCTCTTGGATAAACTGAGGATCAAGACATGACTGTTTGGTGTCTGCCACGTAAAGCGCCGCAAGTTCAGTGAAGAATCGAGGATTGGGGGCTATGAGATGATTAGCCGCCTCAAGTTCTTTACGATACTCCACAGCCATTCCATCAACTTCCAGATTCCGTTTCTCCCACCAAGACAATTTGTCAAATAGATTGGACTTGTCAAGATGGCCGTACACGTGCTGGGGCGACCAATCCACCGAGGACCAAAGGATAGCTTCCTGAATGGATGACACCAAGTCAAACTGAGCGTCAGTGGGAGAAAATCCGCACCCTGGGGCATGTCAAAAGATTTGGGGCCCATTGCTGGAGGAGCCAATCCATTGCCATGATACCGGCCATCAGACCAATGAGTTCACTGCGGTATGGGCTCTGATCGTGGGGCAAACCCGGGGTCTGGCACCGGATGGTCATCCGATCTGACCCTCCATGCTTCACCAGGAGTTGAACAGCTGCGGTCCTTAACTCATTCTTGAAGGATCCATCGCTGATCACGCGAAGGCGACCTTCCAACAGGGCAGCAACTAAGGTAGCTTCGTCACCCTGAATCTCAATCTCGTCTAGGACCCACCCATAGTAGTCCGTGCAAAGCTCTGTAGCCGTTTGCCAAGCTTGAAGGATGGATGGGCTGGTGATAGGGGCCGTTTCAAAGGGACGACCAGTACCGGTGAGAAGAACGCTGTCAGACCCAGTGATGGGACGGACCGTAGCGCAAAGAACAGAGGTGGGGAGAGGGGCGGTCCACCATGGACTGGAGGAAGGTGAAGGCGATGGTGATATTAATTATATATTTTTAGCTTCGGAAAATCTCTGTTATTTCTCCCTTTTTAAAAAAGTATTAGTGACTTATTAATTATGTGTTGATTTATCCAATAGGGACTTATGGACGCGGATGACCAATTGGTCATTGTGACTTTTTCTGAGTTATAACTCAAATCACAACAGAATCCTGAGTTATAACTCTCAACCGTTAGAGTTATAACTCCACGTTTGAGTTATAACTTGAGGATTCAGTCGCAATTAGTTATAACTCCCAACTTCAGGATTCCGTCTATTGATATGATTTGGAATTCGAACTTTCTTAATGACTCTGCGATCATCAAATGACCCGCTGTTATTTACAGAATTAGGATCAAAAATATCATAAGTTGTTCTGGGAAAATGACATTCTTTAAAAACTGAAATATATTTTAAAAAGGCACGGATCGCTCAGTGAAAGACGTCAGAATTCCCACAATCTACCCCACGCGGTACGGATTTTTGTCATTTGCCGGGTGTTCCTGAAGGTGTCAAACCTTGGAAGAAAAAAGTCGATGCCATCTCAATGCGCCTCGGAACATTACTGTCCCCCTAAAAGAGAAACAACACAATCCTCTAAAATGGACAAATGAAGGACAGTGTCGCGGGGTCCATGTACTGTACAATGCTGTCACATTGAGAATGACTTATTTGCACCATTTTGAATGTGCGCCTACGGTATCATCCAATGTAGACCGCAGGCACACTGTTCGATCACTTTGACTACATTGTCTTCCAGACAGACAAAGGCCGAACGGCCTTTGACCGTCAAAATTTGTTGTCGATGCGCCGAGGCAATTACGCCCAGTTTATCAACTGAGATTGAATTCGCCCACTTGTGTCGTGGTAATTCAATTTTTCTCTTGGTACCCAGCCTTTGTCTGCAAGCGAACAAAAAACTCCAGCTCCTTACATGCCGCCCTCATTCATTGCGATCGGCCAGCGTGACGTGCAGCTAACAACTTCCAACATCCCTCCTATAAGAGCTCATCGGATTGTCTTGATCCTCTATTCGCCTTCCACCGCTCTGAGGCATTGTTGAAACAACGAAAACGCGTTCTGTGCCCCTGTCATCCTTCTTAAAATGACATCCTTCCCCAAGTTGCTTGGTCCTGAAAGTCCCCAGATGGGAACTCAGTTTCTCTCTTCTGTCAGTATCTGCTTTTCAGATGATTCAATTCACAAAGCGATCCATGACAAGAAGAGACCCAAGAAATCGGAAATTCAAGCGTCCTTTGGGTTTGCTGTTCCTACAGGTAAGCCCTATTTGGTCTATGGTCGGGGTCGCAAGGAATCAGTGACAGCAGAGACCTTTTCTGCTGATGCTATCCGTTTTAATGCGCCTCAGATGCTCTCTACAGACAAGTTGCGGCTCTTGAACTCGTCTCGCGTCGGAGCAGTCCTTGGAGTATTTTTTACTCCAAATTCTCCTCCGGTTATTGGATTTGGCGCTAGTCCTGTTAGTACTACTTTCAATGGGCAAGATGCTGTCCATCGCGGGGCCCCAAAGTGGTCTGATTGCTTTGATGCCACTTTGATCCAGCAATACTGGCAGGGAGATATGAGTGTCCCTACTCATAGTCTGGTGGTTTTCCTCAGTGGGAAAACACGGTTGAAAATGCTAGCGTCGCATCAGGATTTTGTTCAAGCAACAAAGCCTGCAATGCTGGTTGGGGACTTTTCCAAGGTCCTTCTGATTCCTGATGGATGCGGTGCCCTGGTGGGCCTTTATTGGCCAACTTCTATTTCTTTCAAGGACTTCAAAAATTCTTTGAGTGGACATGGTACTCCTTATGGGAGTTTCTTGGATTTATTGCGACGTCAGTCTTCTATTTTTGAAGAATGGTTTACGGCAGTGAATTCAAGTGCTGGGTCCTATCAATTGCAAACTACTTCTGCGATGGATCTGTGGGCGACTCTGCCTTGTCCTTCCAACCTTCACAGGAATGGTCTATTGAACGTTGCTGCCGCCCAACCCCTACGGGAGCAATTTGCTCGCTATGTAATGGGGATGGCTCTGGTTTGTGCTCTCTTTGGCCCCTGTGGTGTGGACGATCAACAGGCTATCAGGCAACGCTGTCAAGTTGGTGCATGGTTGGAACGTGCTCGGCAATGCTACCCGCCAGCACTGGGGTATCATGCTCCGCCGGAACACTTCGCGTACCTATCTGTTCTTTGTCCTCCGGAGGATGGGTGGCCTTGGCCGGAATTTTCTACTTGGCTTTCTGATTTGCTTTTCGACCCTCCCCACCTTCCGTTCCACAAGACGTCCTCAATGCCATGCAAAAAGTGAGGGCTTTCCAAGAACAAATTGTCCATGGTACATCTGCGGGCACACCTGCTAATCCAGTTGACTTGGTCGCTGATGTGAAGGAGTATGACATTTGCCCGAATGACTTGGCAACTAGGTTTGCTTCTTCGGCGAATGATTCTTCTACTGCAGCAGTCATGCAAGCTGGCAATATTGCTGATCGTCGTTGCTCTAGTTTGGCACAAGGAAGATTTGGGGCTGGTCCACAAACGGGTTTGCTGGGCCTTGCTCCGATGCGGAACGACATGTTCAACCTGCAGACACTGGCGGCATCGCTTGGAGTGCGACAGTCTTGTTTTGTTTCAGCTGATAAAGCGTCTCTTGCAAGTGTGCAGGCACGTCGGACCTGCAGCCCTTATTTCCTAAATGTTGCTCTGGTTCTTGCAAGTTTCTTTCCCCAAGAGGAGCAACCCTATCTGTGTCTGTTCTGATGACCGTGTGGTGGCTGGGACTGATTGGATGAAAGTTCCGGAACTAACGCAACTCGCCCGTGATCTCATTGTGGTATGGGACCATGGCCACAAGGAGGCAACGTCGGGTGTCACACGAACATTGCATTATGCACTTCGTTTTCATACGGATATTGCTACGGATTTTCAACAGATCCCGCTTCCATATGAAGCTGAATTCGACCTGCTAAATTTTGCAATGCATAAATCGATCTGTGATGTGGCGAGATGGAAGATGGGTCGGAAAGTACCACCACCCCCTGTTGGTGGTCCATCTTGGCACATTTTTCACTTGCTACCCTTGGTAAACTCTACATATGGTGGTACATGTATTCCTCCTGGGGGACTTCCAATTGTTGATACACAATTGTTTGGGAAGTATGTCTTCCTTTTGATGTTGCTGTTTGGTTCCCAAGAAGACGCAACAATGGATCAGATTTATGGGGGGGACTACGACGATTCGGTATTTTGGGCATCTCTGTTTGGCCAAAATCTGCTACATTTGTGCAAACTCCCTCAGCACACCGCCGTCGTTCGCTTATGGAGATGTCGTCCTCGCCAATGCACTCTCCAGTGGATGGAAGATCTATGTGCTCTGTTTGGGGAGGTTACTGCAATGGTGCGTTATCGTTCAGGCGCAGCACCTACTACTTTGGGTCTTCAAGATGCTACATTCCATGGCAAAGAAGATATTGTGGCTGGCGCTTTTGTGGTGGCTCCAACTATGGTGGGACGCCATGAATTCACCAAAAAAGCTCTTTTCTATTTGGACAAGTTCCAGCTGCTTTATGAACGTGTGGAAAGGAAGTGGGATCCTGCTGAGTTGGATGTGAACGGCCATACTTGGAGTCATAGTTTTTCTTCGAGTTTCTTTGGCACCGCCATCCCTCCTATCCTACCTCCTAGGGGTCCAGATCCATTTCGACATGGTGTCTCTGATGGGGTACAGCCGTGTTGGAACGTGTATTAGATACTTAGATTGGACTAGTCAGATTAAGTTAGCCTGGTAGGGGCAGCGGTTTGATTCCGTAATACCTTATATTTGACATGGTAAGGTTATGGGATCGAGTCCTCAATTCACATTTCCCTTGTTGATCTTGGAAATGAATGCCGACTGTCTGCATCAACAGGATAAAGATGGACGTGTGAGGGTTCTGACACCAGAAATGGGTGTGCGAGGGTGAAGGGCTATATCTAAGTATCAAATAAGGGAGGATGTTGGAACGTGTATTAGATATTTAGATTGGACTAGTCAGATTAAGGTAGCCTGGTAGGCGCAGCGGTTCGATTCCGTAATACCTTATATTTGACATAGCCGCCTCTGGCGAAACGACAACAATTGGAACTACCTCCTGCAGGCCCACCACCTGGACCACCACGACCTGAACACACTGTACCGTTTACAGCCAAGAAGCCTTTGTTTAAATCTTTGCTCCGGGTGGAAGCTGGACAGTCCGTATATGAAGCTGTTTTGGTGAAGAAATTGGTTCAAGGTGACTCTCCACTTCTCCTGAATCCACAAGGTACGCGGAGACACCCGATTTGTTTTCGTGCTGCGTTTGAAGGGTCTTGTTTGTGTGACAACGGAACAGGGATTTGTCAGTCCCGCGGCTTTGCAAAATCTAAAGGCGTGGGATGGGATCGTCTTCATGTTGATCTTGCAGATCCTTGATGGCATGCACCAGCTTATGCTGAAGCAAATTGGGCCCCAGTGGTCAAGTTTGTCCAATTGTACCAAGAGAAGGGCGTTCTTGGGCCCTCTGCTTGGTTCAAAGCACTGACACCAAGTGCAAAATGGGCTCCGTGAGACCCAATTTTTCCAGAAGGTGCACGACTTCTGGAAAAAGAATCTCTTGCGGCGACATGCATTCCAATTCCATTGGATTGTCGTGTGAAGAGGACGTTTTGACGCAGTTTCCCATCAAAACGGACTCGGAATTTGACGAAAAAGGAGCAGCAGAAGGAAAGGCGGCAGCGGTCAGTCTCTTGGCGGATGGACTGGTCATTGGTGGTAGAGGGCGCCCGACCACCTTTGGATCGGCCACCCACAGCGTGGAATGACACTGTGGATTTTATGGATATTGCTGTCCATGTTCAAGCTAGTGGTTTTCTTGATGCTTGTACTATCCATACTTTGACTGGGGTGCACCGTCATCTTGCACCCCATTCCATGGTGTTGAATACTTGGATTGCACCTCCATGCAATCCCATCAAGAAACGACTCTATGGTTTTGGCCGGGCTTTGAAAGACCGCGGTTTGAATCATGATGTGGTTAATCCACAGTCTATGATCCATTTCGCTTGGCCATATCTTTCTGCTGACGATCGACTTACGGCAATACAGGCATCTCTTGTTTGGAAAAAGTATGCAGAGTTGCGCCGTTTTGCATGTGTTACTTCTCTCAAGTCATTGCAACTTCCGCGTCTCTTGATGGCTGATGAAAAGGTGCCCACTACGTTGGATCCACATCGAGCATGGCTGAATTCAACCGCGTTGCTACGGTTTGATTTCAATCATGGTGCTTTCGTTCGCTGGCTCGGAGGTGAATATACCAACGAAGGGCGTGACTTCAATCTTGAATGGGATGTCATCGAATCCCATTTGAAGTCAAAGGTGCTCCCATCAGATCTTCCACCTACAAAATTGGACATGGCGTATTGTATTCAAACTGAAGGTGTTCCTCTCCGTGGACAATATACTACGCCTATGGAGGCAACACTTCTACAAAACGAATACGACAACCACCCAGCGGTGGGTGCTAACTTGGCCGCGGTTGAGAAGAAATTTGCAAAGGAGGAGTGGAACTCCTACCACTTCCACTACCTGCAATTTGTCTATGAATTTCTTCCGGGCTTGGTCATCAATCCCATTCAGTGGGTCTTGATAAAGGAAAGGGTCAAATCTGTATTGATTGCTCCAATGGTCCTAATTCGTTAGGTTCCATCAATCTTTACATTCCATCTCTGAAAGATGCTATTCCCGGTGAGGAGGATGAATGCCCCGCATTGTACTACCAATATGCATTTGATCGCTTCTTGCGTCAAATCCTCAGGATGCACATCACTCGCCCGAATGATCCCATTATGGTCCATGTGGATGATATAGAAGCTGCGTTTCGACGAGTGCTCTATCATCCCGATATGGCGTGTGCTTTTGCATATGTTTATTCTGATTATCTGATGGTTCCAGTGGGTCAAGTTTTTGGTTCTCGGAGTGCGCCTTCCTACTACTGTGTACTTGCTGATGTCCGCCAAGCATTGGCGGCTTGTCCACAGGATGAGCCTATTCTTCATCCAATGGTCGCTTCCTGCACCTATGAGGTAGATACTTCCTCTCCTCTTGTACAGGTGCCTCCAGATTCGAACCATCCTCCACTCACTTTGCAGGAGCAAACTGAAATGTACAATGCAAGCTTTGTGGATGATAATGGCGTGGTGGCATATTTGGAAACGATGCCGCAGGCACTCCAACACAGCGTCAGGTCAGCTTTTGGAGTCTTTGGTGACGCAGATCGTCGAGGTGGCTGTCTTCAGGATGCTAAGTGGACCTCTCTTGTTTCTGAGACTTTTCTTTTTCTTGGATTCCGGATTGACACCTATGCTATGACCGTTTCTTGGCCTTTTGCAAAACGGAAAGCACTGAATGATGAAATCCAGGATATTCTTTCTCGAAAACGAAAATATGTGACTCCCAAAGAGATGGCTCACATTATTGGTGTGATTCGATCGGCGGCGGCCATTGCCCCATGGGGAACGTTTCTTAGTTTTAATTTACAAAATGCGCTGACAACAGCTGCAAGAAATGCATATTCTACGAATTGTTCTTGGTGGACTCGATCTTGGATCTATCTTTCGGGAGTTGCTATTGCAACATTGCATCAGATTTGGGAAACACTTACTGTTCCTGAAGGAAGTCCATTGTGGTCGCGTCCCATTTCCCTCTATTTGGACCGTGATTTTTCACACCGAGTGTTTTCGGATGCTAGCTATGCTGGAATTGGTGGATGGAGTTCTGATTTTGGTTTCCTTTGGCGCCTTTGTCGCGAGGACCTTATACGTGCTGGATTTGATATGCGTGACATTGATTTGGCGTCTTCCGAACCTGTTTCGGATGGCTCCAATGAAGGTCTCCATATCAATCCTTTGGAATTCATTGGTGTTCTGGTGAACCTTTGGATTGTTTTGAAATTTGTGAAGAAATTGAGACCCCGTTCGGGGGGCTACATTCTGCTTCTGTTGGCGGACAACACCACTGCATTGGCGTGGATGTCTCTTGCCGCTCGCACCAAAAATCCGTTGTTACAAGGACTTGCCCGTTTGGGCGCAGCACTGCTTGTTCATGCTGCAGCTTTACTAACCAAGGTTGTTAAGCGACACTTGCCAGGCGATCAGAACGACGTGGCGGACGCCTTAAGTCGCCCCCCCACAAGCGCCAATCCAGAGCAAAATGTTCTGGACTCCGTTATCGCGCAATGGTCCCAGCTGGACGACTGTCGCATTTGCCTAGTCCCCTTCGAGCTGCTTTCAACGATTGCGTCCGTGATTTCATCACAATCGACCGCGGTACGGTACGATCAAATAACGACCAATCTTTTGAATCTCGAGCTGCGCATTTTGCCCGCTTCTGCGAGGACATGGAATGCTCCGAGCACTATTTACGAGGATTAGACTGGGCTGACACTCTTCGACTTCTGGGTACCTATTTGCATTCAGTCCAGCGTGGCAACAATTTGGACAACCTCACTGATTTGAGTGCGCAGACCATGACAAATTACCTGTCTGCTGCTCATCGTTGGCTTGAGGTCGTTCAGGACCATTCCATTGATATATATGACCCGCATTCCTCTGGCAAAGGACGCCGATATCATCCCTTCTTAGCCCAACAACTTGCTGATTGTCGGTCTTGGAAGAAACCAAGATCAAAACGTGAGCCTTTTTCAATGCTCATGTTCGAAAAACTCTTGGCCGAATTCTCTGCTTCCATTACTCCAACACTTTGTTTTTTTAGCAAAGCATTTTCAGTATATGATTGGGCTCGATTGGGCGTTTTCACCGGCTTTCGCAGTGCAGAATACTCTCAGACTCGGGTCCCGAAAGGACAGCGTTTCATGAAAATCCCTGCATCTACTTTCATCCCCGAAGAATTTTGCAATACACCACTGGCGTTCATTCCGGATGATTTCCGCTTCTATGATCGCAATCACTGTTTGATCCCACATCATTTGGTATTCTGTCGACATTTAAAAGGGGAGATTCTGGAGTTGGAGATTTGTTGGCGCTATGACAAGAGTGCCAACAACTTCACCATCCGTCGATTTTGCCTGACGTCACATCCGATTTTTGATCCGATAGATGCTGCAGTGAGTATAGTCCATCGATGCCACCTTTTGAAGGTTCCATCTGTTGAACAAATGGGGGAATTCAGTACTAATGGCAGCACCTACCGATTTCTACGCGACTCTGATGTTCGAAAAGTGATGCAGCATTCAGTGGATCTGGCCTACCCAGATAAAAATCACTACATGCAACGCAACAAACATCTCATCCAGCCTCACTCCAACCGAATCACTGCCGGTGGAGCCAGCAATGACGACATTGCGTTTAAATTGCGCTGGAGTCCGACATCTGTGCCCACATACTTGTGTGACTGCTTCCAAGGCGTCGGTGATCTGTTGCAGAAGGCCATTGCTGGAGTGATGAAGATGTCTTTTTCATAGGTCTCGTTTTTCTTCCTTCTTCGTCTTCGTTGCGTTCTTTTTGTTTGTCTCTTGGAGTGCTCAAAGTGGCTTGTGGTGTTGGGTTGGTCACTCCCAGATCAACCTTGTGGTAGGACCGCACACGGGATTTCTGAGATTGGTCGAACGAATCGAGTCTATTACTCGATCAGTTCGACCCGCTTCACACCACAACCCACCACCTACACACACCAAGACAAAATATACTACTAACACACACACAGAGGACGGCAGTAGGCTATCTTAGATAGCCAAATATGTCCTACCGGTACGGTACAAAATACAACAACATCAGATTTGTAAACAGTCGTAGCAACGGCCAACTTCAATATGGTGAATAGTGCAATGAGAAAGAAAATTGAAAAAGGAATACCAAAAAGTTGGAACGAAAGACAGCATTGACATGCCAATACAGTGATGATACTAAGTTGACATTAACGGATGTCTCATCCTTCATGAAGAAAAAAAAGCGAGTGCAGCAATAATACTGCAATAAACTGTATCATTGCATTGTATCTCACTTGGTGGAAAGCGATGTATGAAGAACGAGTACCAGTACCAGTGCACGTATACCAGCGATTCATTCATTTCAAAAGAACAATTACGAGCCCATTTCGCTGCGGTTTTCTTCGGCACAGGTCCAAATCCATGTACGAGAAATAATATCGCAAGACATCCATTCGAATAATTAAGCCGCATGTCCTGGCGATTGTCAATTTAGCAGTGTTGCACTTTCTTCGAGAAGCATGAAGTTTTCATATTCTATTATCACCTTCGGGTGAACTGATATCAGCGGTTTGAGCTATGAAGCTAAAAGGAACAGCGGAATTCCACTACGTCCATCGGCCGTACACATACCTTCATGGCAGTGATAAGGTGGTATCTATCTTTTTTGACTTCCGAAGCACAAATCAAAAGATATTTTGGTTGTCATCACTCCACCTCTATGGGACGTGAAACGATGAAAAATATTGCATACTGCATGATTGCCAACAGAAGAGCAATGCCAGCATTCAGGTCCTGTCAATCAGAGAAGCAGCTTTCGACCTTGGAAGAATCTCTCTATCATGCCCGTTTCATGAGGGTTATAATATGAATATTTGTTCACGGTGATTGGTACATTCAGCCACAATAAACACGATTCGCCACACGAAAAAGGCTCCTGCAATGCATTATTCCAGCAAGTAGGTGGTACAACATTCATTCAAATCCTTTTCTCATTGATTGCATCGTCGTCAGAGATGATGCCAGCCCAAGACAAGGAGATAGATATGGCCGCAGCTAAGACATCATGAATGAATGTCATGCAAAAGAACCCAAGCAATAGTCATCAAACATGGAGAAACAGAAGCAGGGAGCATAGCCCTATAATAGAAAACACGAATTGAAACTGACTGCTCTTATTGTTTCTACTATTCCTTTCTGAGCTGATTCCTTTGTCTCTGACTTGATTCTATAGTAGTCTTCTGATAATCCAATCAAAAGATGGGGCGGACAACACTATAGAGACGAAGATGATTTCATTGCCTCTGCTGGACTCTGATATTTAAATCCAATCGATGAGGACATGCCATTGGTTGTGCTGATTGAAAACCATTACTGACAGGAATGACAACAAATACAAGACTGTTCTTTTGCCTCATCGTTCTGATCCAATACGACAATTCCAGCATGTCTATTCCGGCCGAAAGTAACTTGAAAATATCACACACAGGCTATTGCTGGATCTCAGTACCCGATATGATAGCTTGGAGGTGCTTGAAAGTGCTTGAAACCCATCCTCTTGAGTGAATCAATCAAGCATCATGGTTTCCTTCCTATTCTTGACTATCGTGGCTGCCGTCCTGTCGTTCGTCGTCGTTTTGTCGAGATGCTGTCATCGGCCGTCATCATCAAAGTCATGTCAAATTCAAAGATCCATCCAGTCATCCTTCTGATCTCCCTCGCATATTGCAAATAATGCTTCCTCCCCTTCATCGACATTATTCAATAGCATGACTCATTGAAAAATACATAGGGTTTCATTTTGAAAGAACAACTTCAACTACGTGAAATTACATCAGTATTGTAAATACATTGCCGGCAGAATCAATCGAATTTTCAATTTTGTTCGGGAAGTTTGATGAACCGACGGATTTCCGCAAATAATAAGTGCCGCGCGTTACACCCTCGTGCGTGTTTCCAAACTTAACTGAATCTGTTGTTTTGGTTCCTAAAGTATTTTTAGGAAAAGCCACACTGAAAAACTCGCTGCAGGAATATTGACAAGCAGACTGCCGATGAGAACAACAAGAGGAGGGGTTAGAGTATTAGTAACTGGTCTCCTGGTCTCCATATATATATACAAGTGAAGTCAAAGCTGTCCTTATCCATATGTACCGGTACCGGTGTTGGGCCGTCAAACGCAAAATGTGTAAAAAAAAGGAAAAAAGGAAAAAAAGAATTCTCCTGCCAAGATTCGAACTTGGGATGCTTGATTCAAAGTCAAGAGTGATAACCACTTCACTACAGGAGAATCAGCTGTGCTTTTGTTGAAAAGTAGACGTATAGAAACTATGCAATTGATTACTGACGTGTTTGTTTCCTTCTTTTACCGCTTCCTGTATTTCCTCTGCCGGAATTTGGAAGATCCATCAATTTTCTGCCATCCGTTCGATTGATTCCGTCGTCGGCATTTGTCGTCACATAATTTTGAATACTACCGACCGGTACACACTCCTCATCATGAAGTTTACCTCCTCCCTTGTTTTTGCTCTCGGCTTTGCCGCCCAATCTTTGGCCTTTGCCCCTGCCATGGCACCCAAGCTGTCTACTTCCTTGAACGCTGGTGTCCTTTCCAAGACCACCGGACAGTCCTCTTTGGATCCTGCCGTCATTGCCAAATACAACTCTCTTCCTTTCCCTGAGGACAGCATCCTTGCCGAGTACGTGTGGACCGATGCCGTTGGAAATACGCGTTCCAAGACTCGTACTCTTCCTGCTGCCAAGGGAAAGTCTGTCGAAAGCTTGCCAAAGTGGAACTTTGATGGATCTTCCACCGACCAAGCTCCAGGTGACGACTCCGAGGTCATCCTCCGTCCATGCCGTATCTTCAAGGACCCCTTCCGCCCTCGCTCTGACGGAATCGACAATATCCTTGTCATGTGCGATACCTACACTCCCGCTGGAGAACCTTTGGAAACCAACAACCGTGCTTTTGGTAAGTCACAACAACAACATAATGATGACAAGGACTAGACGTCGATTGGTCGTCAGTCCGACGAGTTTGGGAGACACTGCTTTGAGTTTTGGAGACACTACTTTGCACTAGTATTCCGCTCGTCATCTGCATCCGTCTTGGAAACTCAATCATTTTGCTTCAATCAATACGCTTTGCTCACCCATTCGTTTCCTTCCACTCTTTGATTTTTTTCTTTCTAATCCTCAGCCGCCAAGGCATTTGAAGGCATGGACGACGAAGAAGTCTGGTTCGGAATGGAACAAGAATTCACCCTCTTCAACTTGGATGAGCGCACACCCCTTGGTTGGCCCGAAGGTGGCATGCCCAGCCGTGCCCAAGGTCCCTACTACTGCTCGGTCGGTCCAGAGAACTCTTTTGGACGAGCCATCGTTGACGCCATGTACAAGGCTGCCCTTTACGCCGGAATCACCATCTCTGGGACCAACGGAGAGGTCATGCCTGGACAACAAGAATACCAAGTCGGACCATGCGTCGGAATTGATGCTGGTGACCAACTTATGATGTCCCGATACATCCTGCAACGAGTCTGTGAAGACTTCCAAGTCTACTGCACGCTTCACCCCAAGCCAATCGTCGAGGGAGACTGGAATGGTGCCGGTATGCACACCAACGTTTCCACCAAATCAATGAGAGAAGAAGGTGGGCTTGAGGTAATCAAGAAGGCCATCTACAAGTTGGGCGAGAAGCACGCCGAACACATTGCCATTTACGGAGAAGGAAACGAACTTCGATTGACCGGAAAATTCGAGACTGCCTCCATTAACGATTTCACTTTTGGTGTTGCCAACCGTGGAGCCTCGGTCCGAATCGGACGTGACACCTGGGATGAAGGAAAGGGATACTTTGAGGACCGTAGACCTTCTTCCAACTGTGACCCTTACCTGGTCAGTGGAAAGATCATGTCGACCATCATGGGACCCGAGGCTCCTGAAATCACTCCTTTGGACAAGGAGGAGGCCTAAGAATTGAACGGGCGATGCTAGGAGCTGAACAAGTTGTTTTGTATTGGACAAATAATAAATGTGGTGTAACACTTGCAATACTTCGATTATACTGGTTATTTAGAAGTGATGAATTTCGACTGTCGTAGTGCATGCTTTTGACACGATGCTGCGAAGCAATGAAAAGATGGTGGAGACCAATGCCAGAGTAACGATTTGGGCAGGAATGTGTAAACTTGATACAGTATTTTCGACTGAGCACTAGCGTCGCTCGGTGCCGGTACCATCAGGACCGTAGACCTTACTTTGCCTTCGGATACCACCATGACTACCCTTCTTGCCCCTTCATAGACACTCAGTTGGAACCCGGCAGAATCTGCAGCCAGCCGTGCAGTACTACCTGATTGATTCATTCAAACAAGGAGATTATGATACAGAGGGTCAGCCTTTCATGTTTCCAGCTGTTGTTCGTCAGCCACAACATCTTACTACTGCAAGTCAAAAGTCGGAGGAGTCGTATTTTAATACTACCTGTAAGGGTATGTATATAGGGGCTTGAACATCCACCTTTATGAGATAAATAAATAGGGGCTTATAATAACCTGTGTTTCAAAGATTCTTACGACTGTTACAAAATCTTTCCAATCGTTCCTGTCTTCCTTTTGCAAACATCCACGAAAAAAAATGGATTATATCAAGAATCAGGAGGCGCCGAGGTTCAATTTTATCCTTCAGCCAAGGTGAGGATGTATCCAATGCCTAACAAGGAAGACCGTGAAGCGGCCTGGTACAGCCGTGAAGACTTCAGACCTTCCGAAAGTTGGGCATTCTAAATTTGAAAGCCGAACAGGAGAAAATGTCGATTACCACGACCATGGGCATACGTATAGGATAATGCTTCAAGATTCTCGATTATATTGTGTCCTCAAAGAGCAAAATCGCCAGTATGAAGAAGGGATCAATGATCTGGAGGCGATCGCAATGTCATGCCAACATATATGGCAGGAAAGCTCTATCGAAGCCCAAGAGGAAGGACAAAGAACTCACGAACAGAAATTGTGTTTCTCAGGCTTAGTATTGGTACAAATGATAAGAGAGCCGTCGTTCCAGAGCATGCAACTGCGATTGCAAGGAGGAACGCCACAAGATTAGCAATTGCTGCATGAGTACATTCAACAATGCTATTGTTATTCTATTGGGACTATTCTTCTCATGATGGGCACGAGAGGTAAACCGCATTCAGCGACGCACTACTGAAAACTATAAAAAGAACGATCATTGTAAGCCAACAGCTACAAGCACAGCCAGCGCACAAGTTTTCGGTAGAAGAAAATCAATTTTCTGCATTCAACTAGGACTACACAGATATAGTATTATACCTATTACTCTTTTTATTTGCCTTCATATTTCAATTTGACTTGGATGCATGTCGGTGTCATTGCGCCCTTCCAAAGCCTGTTTTCTGTGATGGAGTGAAAATCCATCCGAAACGGATCATTATTGTGCGGCGGAGATATTACTGCACTTCTTTCGTTTATTTCCGTTCCCCGCCTTTTTTATATACAAAGTTGCCGGTCTTCTTTTCCCACGTGTCCCAAAAAGGTATTGCATAACTCTACGCTCTGGTGGGCCAACACCATATGATTCCTATGTAAAAATTTTGTTTCCACAAAGGCTTGCGGAAAAGTATATACCTCTCCGGGTCCCTTGATATATACGATGCGATTTCAAGTCAGGCTCAATTTTGGCACGTAGAAATCGTACCGTTTTCGCGTAGACCAGAATACTGGCCTGGTTGAGAATATTGGAAAATACACGTTCCTCAAAAGACACCAGATTGCCCACAACAAACGAAAACATCACCGTCGATGGATACAAAACAAACGAGAGAAATGAAAGGAAATGAAAGAAGAGCAAAGGTGCTGATGTAAATGTAAGTTTTAGATGGCAACATCTCGGACTTCGTGTGGAATTTTCTCAAACATGGCTCCTGCAAAACCTGTACGGGTTGGACTGGTGACATCGGCATCGCTTTCGTCAAACCACCCTCTCTGAAAGGAACACCTTCCATGGACGGGGATACCAATAGACTTGCAACGGTGCCCTCCCGATCCTTCAAGTGCCACCGATTCACCTTTGCTTCCAGCACATTCACATTTGCCCACTCTTGGTGGCGTTTGATATGGCTGGAATGAATCCTCTTGTGTTATTGTCACACATATCAATCAGCCACTGGACGTATCTGGACGAGGTCTCCGCATCCTGGGCACTACAGAGCAACCAGTTCATTGTAATCTGGCGCCATAATGAGGACAAAGGACCGCAAGGAGTATTATGTTGGCGCTCTTTTGTGAAGAACATACTGGATGGCGTATCTTCCAGATTCGACACCACTTCTTCATCACCTGAATCAACAATCAACATTGTTCTGCGCTGGCTGGTCCATGGGGTTATCGGTAATTTGATTCGATGTCTGTCGTTTCTGCTGAGAAGATCACTGCAGCAGGCGCTTATTGCTGTTGGTCTAGATTGCGGGTATGTTGTCAAACCGATGAATGTTTGACATCTCGCCTTTTACCATGACCCATTGGACCCAGCAGAGATACCCAGAAGAGATGTGAAAGAAAGCTTCTGATCATAAATCCAGAATTGGACTGAGGACAGAATACTAGTAGCGGCTTCTGTCACGACAATAAGCAGGGATGTGCTGGAGCGGCAATCATACCGTTGTTCGAGTTTTGTTGCTCCTAGAATGAATGGCTTCATAGCCGAAGGACTCTATATTATAATGTAGCATATTAATTGATTGTAAACCGTTTACTATAAACGCAACTAGCAGTTTTTAATGATCCATGTCGGCCCTTCCTATAGAAGCAACCTCGAGGACGATAACCAAAATATCCATTTCCCCCCTTCTAGCCGGCGTATTCTCTCCTTGAAGTATCGGGTCGACAGCCGTCTTGGTGTATTTTGGAATCCTACATGTCAACCAATGGAGGGCCTCGTGCACTACTTCACGCCCAAACAACGAAAAATAGAAAAACATCACAATCATCATGATTTCTATCAAACTATTTTAGGTCTTTCCAAGATATGCCTGGGCATTGTTACTTCATCTCATTCACCATACTGGAAGGATAGTTTTCATCGCCGTCTCATTGCCAGGGTGGGGCGTTGAAGGATGTGCCATGTAGGCCCTTGCCAGAATCATCGCCTATTTTGGGAAGAACTTCCTCTTCCTTTTGCCTTGATGTAGCTCGAAAAGGAGTCGAAGAGGATGTGCCCCAAGGTCCTGTCACCGTGCACAATAGATGGTATCGATTGAGGCATCGTGATTCTTCCAGAGGCTGTACGTCCCTGAGCTGGCTGGGTGCCTCCCGTGTATGGCTCCTCTCATCAGCGTTCTTGGAGTGAAATACACTGCATTATTTTAGATGAAACATCAAACGATATCCAGTGACTTCTACCCACGATAAAGTATGTTCATGCAGTGAGAGGACGTACAGACGTTACCGTTTCTGGGGGTATATACGTTTCCGCCGGTCAACAAGGATGCTTCCAATCCCGGTTCATCATTCGTTGCGGTAATATACGTAGTTTCACAACAAGGTTTTGCGTTTTGCTGTAATAGTTATTTCACAATTGGAACCATAGAGTTCTTGATACCTAGAAATTGATGATTCTAAAAGCAGAATAAGGAATAGAACACGAGCATGAGCACACCAGTTGCAATCTCAAGAAAATCATCATCATGTTTTTGCGGATACAACTCATCCCCAAGCGGAAGCAACCGCAAAAGAATAAGACTCCCCGGGGTTTCCAATTATGAAGACATGCTGATGGAAGGCATGAAGAATCTCTCTTTCGATCAGATTCAGCGTGAGCAAGAATTGCTTCATGGAGTTGCTAATGAAGTTGACCTGAATGAAAATACGATCAACGACCTGCTTCTTGGGTTAGAGACACATCTTAATCTCATGAAGGAAGGAACTGCGTACGAAGCAGCGGAAAGGCAAGACCCATCTTATGTTTCCAATCGGGAACTTCAGTTGGCTTTCTTACGAGCGAGTCATTTTGAACCAAAAGCTTCGGCTGAGAAACTGATGAACTTCTTTAGATACAAACAAGGCCTCTTTGGTGCAGAAAGCTTGGTTCGGGACATCACTGTACAAGATTTGGACCAAGATGACCTATCCTGTTTGTTGGAAGGCTATTTTCAATACTCCCCATTTCGTGATCGATCAGGACGAATGATCCATTTGGAGTTCCCCGGCGTTCGATCCAAGACAGCTGTCCGCACAGAGTTGCGAGCCAGATTTTACATGTCAGCAAACAGTGTTGAAACAATGGTAGACATCAGCAAAGGAACTGTCATCGTATCTTATATGGTGGAACAGTATAAAGATCATTTGAAAGGGGCGGGGTTCCTCGAAGCACTTAACTTGTTCCAGAAAGGTCTCCCCATAAGGATTGACGGATTACACATATGTTATAGCAATCCAATAGAATGCATGGTAACCAGGACGTGCATTTCAATACTGCCGCATCGTGAACGCGTCAAATCGCGTGTACACTTGGGATCCCACACAGAATGTCAATATTTACTCGCAAGCTATGGCATAACCAGAGGAGCTCTTCCTCTGAAGGGACTCGAAAGTGAGATGGATTTGAACCATCATAATGCTTGGTTTCAGAGACGAATCCTTCGAGAGAAAGAGCAACGGCAACATGTATCATTCCCAAATCCTTCTTCTGGTTCACCTGCAACGCCCCAACATAACCTACCCAGCCATGACACCGCATCTGGCCCGAACAGCGGCAATGAAAATGATGTCTTGTCCTTGGGTCAGAGAGTCAAAACTTTAGGAAACGAACGGCTGCTTTCGTTGGCGCTCATTTACGCCACAGCGTACGCGAATGGAAGTATTTCCAATCGACGGACCATTGTATCTGCAATCATCGATGAAGTCCACAGGCATGGAGGTAGATTTCTAAAGCCAGACCCTCAATCTGTTTCGCAAGCAGATTCATTGTCGTCACAGGATGAAGGGAGGATCACATGGGTGGAACTATCGCAAGATGAACAACGGGCCAAGGTCACGCAGCTCTTTCGCAATTTGCGTCGTCGACGCTCTCGAACGTGCATCAGTCTTTCAAATACACCAACATTATCAAGGCCTCCGATAATTTTAGAACATATTGGCCCAAACGATGTCTTGTTTGGGCAACGGTCCGATAATCCAGGGAACCAACGACTACGAGAGATAGTTGCGGGGCTATCCGACGAATACAGCCGCACCGATCGCGGCAAGAAAAAGAATACAGTATCGCAATTGATCAAACATATTCAAAAGAGGGGGGGTCGTTTTTTAAAGCCCTCTGCTAATCATGATGGAAGATGGGAGGTGGCATCCGATGAAGCGGCCCATGAGAAGGTGTCCAAACAATTTCGTAATATGCGACGATTGCGATGAGAAAATCATCATGTGTGATGATCTATTATTCTACGCACAGTGATTCATTCAATTCATTCCTTCCTTCCTTCCTTACTTACTTACTTACTTACTTATCTAAAAAGTAGGCTAGTGTACGTGTTGAACCATAGTTTTGGTCCGCTATTAAAAAAGTGTAGAATAATACAATTTCGCAATTTCAAATCGGTCGAACGCATACATATATATTATGTAGCATAAAATGGTTGCCGTTGGCGGGTTGGTAAAAGTGAATGGTTGATTAATTAGTGGAAACGAAATTGAATTTTCATGGGCGGATTGACAATCACCACTACTATTGAGTCGCTTCTACTAGGATCCTTCAAATACTATTTTCGAGGGAGGAAGTATGCAAAAGTTCCGCTGAATTTTGCAACAGGAACGATTGAAAATGAAATTACCTTCACCTTTTTGTTATGCTTAGACTTTCCTTGTAGAGGCACTATTCCTAGGCATGCTATTACTATACCGGTATACGCGTCTCCCCCTCCCTTTGTTGTCCCCCCTCATTTGTTCTTTGTACCAGCTGCACTCGTCTGTCATTCTGTCCAAACGGCCTACTCTGAACTCTTGGGACGGTATCATTCTATTCTTGAAGCCTTTTATTCATTAAATGACTGAACACATACTATACCCGGTATATATGGGTACGAGTACCGGTAAAATTGAACTAATTGGGATTTTCGTAATTTTCCGATTTCGGAAGAACTTTGCCTACTGCGTCAATCAATCCCACCGCGTTTCTATTGCTAACGAGCTCGCGTCGCACGATGAGATATGAATCGATTTCTATTTTTAAAACCAAACCTTCATCATCGCACCAGCACATCAGCATCTCAGCATCTCAGCATCATCCCATTAAGAACGCTGCTGACATTACAGTTTCCTTGAAACCTAGAAGTTAAGACACGGCTGAATTAGAAAAAGGAATAGAGCATGAGCACATCAGTTGAAGCCCCAAGCAAATCATGCCTCTGCGGAATCAATTTCCCAGGCGGATTTGGCGTCACCAGTCAATTGAATAGCAGTCGGAAACGAACAGTACCAGGGGTTTCCGATTATGAAGACGTTCTGATGGAAGGCATGAAGCATCTTACCTTCGATGAGATTCAACATGAACAGGAACTGCTTCATGGAGTTGCTGGTGAAGTTGACTTAAATGAAAACGATCTGCTGGTTGGGCTGGAGATGCATCTTAATCGTATGAAGAAAGGAACTGCATACGAATCAGCGGAAAGGCAAGACCCATCGTATGTTTCCAATCGGGAACTTCAGTTGGCTTTCTTACGAGCGAGCCATTTTAAACCAAAAGATTCAGCTGAGAAGCTGATTAACTTTTTCAAACATAAACAAGACCTCTTTGGTGAGGAGAGCTTGGTTCGGGACATCACCGCACAAGATTTGGACCAAGATGACCTATCCTGTTTGTTGGAAGGCTTCTTCCAGTTCTGCCCATTTCGGGATCGATCAGGACGAATGATTCATTTGGAGTTTCCCGGCATTCGATCCAAGACAACTGTCCGTACAGAGATGCGAGCTAGATTTTACGCTTCCGCAAACAGTGTTGAAACAATGGTTGACATTAGCAAAGGCGCCGTCGTTGTAAGCTATCTTGTGGAACAGTATAAAGACCATTTGAAGGGGGCGGGGTTCGCAGAAACAACAAACTTGTACCACAACGTTGTTCCTATGAAAATTGATGGGTTTCATCTATGTTTCAGCAATTCCATTGAATGCTTGGTGCTCAAGGCATGCATTGCAATGCTGCCATATGAGGAGCGCGTCAAATCTCGTGTACACTTGGGGTCTCATACAGAATGTCAATATTTGCTTGCAAGCTACGGTATAACCAGAGGAGCGCTGCCTTTGACGGGCCTTGAGAGTGAGATGGATTTGAATCATCATAATGCTTGGTTTCAGAGACGAATTCTTCGAGAGAAAGAGCAACGGCAGCAAGCATCATTGCGGATTCCTTCTACCAATGCTTCTATAACGCACCAACATAACCCATCCTGTCATGACGCCACATCAGGACCGAACAGCGGCAATGAAAACGATGTCTTGTCCTTGGGTCAGAGAGTCAAAGGTGTGGGCAACGAACGGCTGCATTCCTTGGCGCTCATTTATGCCACAGCGTACGCGAATGGAAGTATTTCCAATCGACGGACCATTGTATCTGGAATCATCGATGAAGTCCACAGGCATGGAGGTAGATTCCTAAAACCAGACCCTCAATCTGTTTCGAAAGCAGATTCCATGTCATCAGAGGATGAAATGAGAAACATCCAATGGGTGGAACTATCGCCAGATGAACAACGTGTCAAGATCACACAGCTCTTCCGCAATTTGCGTCGTCGTCGATCTCGACCAAGCACAAGCAGTGCTTCCATTGCAGGGCTCCCCCCCTTTGCAGCAGCAGCAGGAGCATCGTCATCAAAGCAGGTTGTAGTCGTAGATCAGATCGGGCCAAACGATGTCTTGTTTGGGCAACGGCCGGACAATCCAGGTAACCAACGACTACGAGAGCTTGTTATTGCATTATCAGACGAGTATAACCGCACTGATCGTGGAGAGAAAAAGAATACAGTATCTCAATTGGTAGAACGCATCCAAAAGAATGGTGGTCGCTTTCTGAAGCCCTCCGCTGATCATGTTGGACGATGGGAGGTGGTGTCTGACGAAGCGGCCCGTGAGAAGGTGTCGAAGCAATTTCGCAATGTTCGAAGAATGCGATGAGGCGCGTATGGAGAATGGGGAAAGATCTCGCGCCTTTTTTATTTGCACTGACCAAATGGTGGAAATCGGCCATCATCATTACTGTATCAATATGAATATTATCCCTCACCTCTGCGATACATTATTATTGTAAATACTGTTCGCAAGGTGCTTGCTAAGAACCTACAAACAATAACCTCTAGGATATACCTAGATCTTATTTTCGCATTCCTGTTATTATTACAGTACCTATTGTACTGTTCCTATTCCCTATACGGTGTACTGTAGTTTATCACCATGATGGATGTCATCATAATATATACATATATATGCATATATATATATAATGAGATTGTGTCCGTTTTCGAATCGCAGGAAGAACGTAACGATGCTAATAGCTTCTACAAAAGACTATGATGATGATGATGATGATGATAATGATTTTATATATGTGTTACATTTAGTATTTAGTAGTACACAATGAATGCCACTCGACGAATGCCTCATCATCTATGATATCTAGCAGGCGATTGGTCTGATTCATTCAATCCTGATAATCATTATTTACTATTACCTTTCTAGAAAACGGTAGTACGGTTGGGACAATATACTATATTGGCACCGCAGCAAACGAGAGAGACAGGCATTATTCTCGTCATTATTGCCATTATCATCACTTGTTGTTGCTCGATCATGAATATTGTTATCAGGATCAGATACCTTCACCATCATCCTCACCATCCTCACCATCATCATCATCTCCATGTTCCAACAAGCAAGTGTAAGTTTCCACCTTATTGGTTTGTTGACGTTTTGATGGCCCAAAGTTTGATGAATGAGTCAACGGCCTGGATGACCCGCCCCCTCCCCGGAATTAAGACGAATTTGTACAGTAGTATATGGTACGAGTTGTGTTTTTTTGTACCGCCGTAATAAAGGTTTTTTCGTCAAAATACTACGGTAGTACCGTATACCCAAATTCCATACAGTAGACTGTATCTGCAAATGATGAACCGTACAGTAGTACCCCATTCTTGACAAATAATGAATCGTTGTTGCCTCATCGTTGTTGCCTCATCGTTGTTGCCTCATCGTTGTTGCCCGCAACAAAAAATTAGACAGTATTTCAGGAGAACGTCCTTCCTTCCCCCCTGTTTTGTCAAAGAAGGAGAAGGAATGCCTTCTTCCATCCTTCGACGTTTGGGGATGGGGGAGAGACCCTTTTTAGCACATATATTGAACCATGTGTTCATAGAATGCCGTAGAAAAGAACTAGAAATGGTAAGCAAACAATCGGAAATAACGCTCCTTTCATATGGAAATGGATGCAAAAGATCAATCCCCCAATCTGTCCCTCCTCTTCCGGCAGATTTGGATCTTCTCCTTGTTGTTGTCCAAATCAATTGTCAAGTCCGACAACAATTATTACTGTACTGCATAGGTCTTGACAGATACAAATCACATACACCACAATGTTTCACAGATTGGCTGCCCGTTCCCTTCGTTCTGCTTCTGCTTCTGCTAGCAACAGCAGCAGCAAATGCCACAAGGTCAACTTTCAAAGCAAGCGTTTTTTGAATTTGCACGAATACCAATCCTCGGCCATCATGGAACAAGCCGGCGTCAACGTTCCCTTTGGGATTGCCGCTCACTCCGTGGAAGAAGCTGTCGCTGCCGCCAATCAAATTGGAGATGAAGAAGTCGTCATCAAGTCTCAGATTCTAGCCGGGGGCC